GAAAATGTCACCGGTGCCCTTGCATCAACAGTGAAAAGGGTGAATATTCTGGTCATTGTCCGTCACACTCACAAAAAAGCAATTTGAACTTTATTTGTATGTCTCCCTTGTTAAACTCAGGCGAAACACATGATATTTATCTATGGTACAAAATTTGTTTTAGAAATAATTGTGGGGTCCCTTGAATATTGGGGCCCAGGCTGCAGCCCAGTCAGTCCCCCACCTTTAATCCGGCCCTGCTACAGAGTGTTAGCAATGTTTTGTAATCCAAATGAATGGGAGTAACACATATGCCTGGAGTAATTTCGGAAATCACCCAAAATCATAAGATGGATTTAATCAATTAAAATATTGGCGTATAAATTTACAGCCTTTTTAAAGATGATTATTTGAAATCCACTTTCCAGAAGACCAAAAGAAAAAGAATGGTGTGCGAGGTGTGGGGGATACTTTGCTGCTAATTATATAAAGTTCTGTAAGATCAGTTTTTCACACGCCCACATCCGCCCGACTGTCTTTGCAACAATATCTCGTGAACATTCTGTATTAATCATCTGATCTTTTATAAATTAATATGCGTGGTTTACATTATAACACCACGGGAAATACTGTTTCGATGATTTGTTGAAAACTCCCAGAGATATTGTAATAGAATCTTGTGAACGATGTACTCATGTAGTGTCAAAAGTTATCAGTCGATAAGTGTGAAAAGTGTATGTATTGTTTAGGTGGAGGGATTATTATTGTGAACGCCATGTCACAAAAATGACCATCACACGATTCTCTTGAATTTTATATACATTATTAAGATGAAGAAATCAGTCGAATTTCTAGAATCAGATCTGCTGGAAATTTATATGCTTTGTTCAGATTAGCGAGACGAAGAAACCTTTGTAGAGTTATTACCTTTACTCATATTGTAAAATCCAGTAAATGCTCTAGCAGCAAAAATATTCTTATCAAAAAAACAGTATGAAAATTTTAAAGTGTATACACATACGACAACTTGTATGTACTGCGCCGGCGATTTTGTTTAACAGTGTGAATATTTAGCAATATATAAATCTAAATGTGTTTTTGATATAGGGACCAGCACTGTGTGTATATAACGATGGAATATTTACTAAAACAGACTGGAAAGGTATAGCTGCTATACAGTGTAGCGAGAAAGAAAATGAACCCCTTAAAGTTGGACGATTTGGACTTGGATTTAAATCAGTCTTTCATATTACAGGTATGCGTTTTTATAAATATTTAAACATCTATGTTAGGATAAAGTCCACAGATATCAGTATACTTAACTGTAGTAATTGTGTCTTTATATTCACAGATACTCCTCTCATTCTAAGTGGAAGTAAACTGATGATAATAAACCCAGCAGCTAATGTACATGATGTTGTCGTCACTAAAAAACTTAAAATAATAGATGAAAAAAGTCAGAAGGAAATGCTCGATTTGATGTCTGGAATATTTGGATTTTCACCAGAAGTCTTTCAAGATGGTTTCAATGGCACAATATTTTGGTTTCCACTGAGGACTGTTGAGTCAAGTTTGTGTAAAACTATTTATGATGAGGACAAAATTCGTAACATTTTTCATGGTTTCACATCACTTGCACCATCAATTCTTCTTTTCTTAAAGAAGATCGAAATTATAGAAATTTACGAGAGACATCCAGAGACCAGGAAACTGTTTAAAGTTTGTCTTGATGATGATGATTTATTAATGTTAAGACAAGATAGGAAACGCTTTGTACAGGAAATAGAACACTTCAGTGGACAGTTTTCTTCTCAACCAATTGAAAATATTTTGAGACCTAAAGTGAGATGTGAAGGATTTGATTGGCTGAAAATGGAAACCTCAGAAAATGAGTGGTTAGTTATCAATCATTATCATGGTGGTCATGTCAGTGCTGAATTAAGGAAACTCGTTGAAGATGATGATTGGCCTTATAGTCCTTATGTAAGTATCGCAGCATGCTTATCTAAACCAATCACAAAAGGACACGTATTCTGTTTCTTACCTTTACCATTGGAAGGTCAAAGTTTAACAGGTTTACCAGTTCATGTTAATGGATTCTTTGCTTTGAGCCAAGACCGCCACCATGTAAGATGGAACTCTTCTGAACAAGATAGAAACAATAGCAACACAGAAAAATCGATTCTTTGGAATCAATATCTGGTAAAAGAAATTCTACCACAAGTCTACACCAACCTGATATTACAGCTTATAGATGATCACAGATCACAGCCATTAACCTGTTCAGAAAGAAGCAAGAGAGCAGATGTAGTTTATAGAACTTTACCAAACAATGGAAATGTTACTGATAATTGGAAAAATATAATTGATCCGATTTTCCAACAGTTGTATTCTACAGCATGCATGTTCACTAAACGGGAAGGGGGAATATGGGCAGAACCACAAAATACAGTCTTTACGAAACTTCAAGACGAAAATATGGTAGATTCAGTTGAGCATGCGTATCTTCTTTGTGGTAGAAATTTCTCAAGGGCTCCCATTTGTATTTTAGATGCATTCCGAAAACATGGGTCAATAACATTTATTTCTGCTGAACATTTAAGAGAACAACTTTTACAACATCCCGAAGTTTGTAGCCAACTCAACTTGAAGGTCAAATTAAATCTGCTTCATTATATTTTGGACAATAATGTTAATTGCTTGCAAGATTTAGAGCTTTTACCATTAGCAGATGGCAATTTCTGTACGTTTACAACTGGGAATACTGAAACGGTGTATATTTTGGAGCATGTTGATGACATTAAGATGTTTCCTGGACTAGAATCCCATTTCGTCAAGTTAGAGTTGGAACCCGATTTATATCTAAAGATTCAGAACCAATGTTCTCGTGAAATAGGTAGGTATTGGGGATCATACCAAAACCATTGGTAATTGTTCTATTCTTGTAAGAAAACATTTCGAAAGCTTGCATGATAAAATATAAATTAAAGTGTTAATTTTGAACAGTATTCTATATTTAGAATAACACGATCTTGTTAAAAATGCTCCTAAAGATATAGGATAATTGAGAATCTTTTACTATAAAAATTGAATTTACTGACCTTTTCAGGTAAATTTCAGATAAAGATATTCGATCCTAATGATTTTTCACAACTCATAGACCTGTGTATAAAGCAAAACCAATGGCAAGGAATAAAGTTGACGAAATCTTTAGAAGAATGGTTGGATTTGGTATGGACATACATTGGCAAGTACAAAAAATTAATTATCGAGAAAATTAAAAGTTTGGAGTTATTACCATATAAAGACCCAGAAACATTTGAAGAGCGACTCACAAAAACATCGGAGATAGCAATATTGGAATCATATACAGGTAATGATTCCCTGCGCGAACCTCTTATTGGAGCTTTAGAAAAGTTGAATATAAAGGTATATAAATCATTACCAGAATATATATCTACTGTTGTAGCTGGTACATTTGTGGAATATCCAACACCAGCGGGGCTGGCGAATTGTTTAAGAAGAATAACAGAAGATGATCAAGTTATGAAGAGGAGTGTTAAGGATTTTAATTCTAGATGCTCCGTTTCAGAAAAGAAGGCGCTTCTTGTAAAGTTAAATACAATTGTAAATATTTCAAACACGAAGAAACTTCTCAGAAGACTGCATTTATTTTCATTGACACCTGGAGTGGAAATGGATGTTTGCTTGGATGATGTGAATGAAATATTTGATGGAAGCAAAGAACTACATATTCCAATTAAGCCTCGCGAAAAGATGATCCAGTGCTCTGATAAATTGGTGGAGTCATTGCATGTAGCATTAAAGTTAGAAGCAAAACAAAAATCATTTTCAGAAATAATTTCTAAGATTCTTCAGGATCTCAGCAGTGGATCATTTTATTCCGTGAATGAAAAATTACAATTTATGGAGTTCTTTGTTGAAAATATAAAAACGTTTGAAAATGATGAGCTAAAGATGAAGTTAGCAAGAAGTATTCAATTTATAGAAAACCTAACAGGCCAGTATTGCCGTCCATCGGAGTTGTTTGATCCAAAACCCAAGCTTCTTCAAGATTTGTTCCATTATAAAAAGTCAGTATTCCCCTCCACTAGATATGTTGATAATCTAAAAAATCTAAAAAAACTTGGGTTAAGAAGAGTATGTGATATTAAAGATAACGAAATCTTGAATACAGCCAATTTCATCAATGAACAATATCTGAATAATGGACAATCAGATTTATCTAATATATCTATAGCTCTGTTGGAGTATCTAAATACAGATGAAAACAGATTGAATGTTGACACAACCCAGCTTTTGAGTACTCTTACCTGGTGTCCAGTTATGGACAATCGCCCAAACAGTTATCCTGAAAAGTTAGAATTTGCAGCCGAAGGTCATAACAATTTACTGAAAAAACCATGCGAGCTCATCCACTACGATTATGTTTACCTAGTTGGTGGAAAACAATTTATTGCCAGAAATGACTTGCCTGCATGCTTAACTAAATTCCTTATGAACATATCGACGATGGCAGATTCGGTTATTGATCAACTCTTGTTTGTATCCAAAGACTATTCTGAAAGATCTGTTACTGAACAATCAAAATTTATGACAGTTTTAGAACACATCTATGGATTTCTCACCAAACATAAGATATTTACAGGATTGTCACAGAAACGGGTGATCTGGACTGGTTCAGAAGGCAAATTTCAGTGTCCAGAAGATGTTTGGTTGAATAAAAAACAATCGGATATTCCCCTTGAGCCGTATATGTTTTCCTTGCCAGATACATTTTATGATTTTAAGGACTGGTTTCTGGGGATAGGTTGTGAATCAGAGCAATCAAATGAGGTATTGTTAAAAACATTGCATCAAATTAAAGACAAGCATGACAAGGTAAACGAACATCAACCTCAAGAAGTGGTTACAAAAGATTTGTCACTTGTTATCCAGATTGTAAATACTCTGGTCAGTTCAAAAGAAGATGTAAGTCAAGTAATACTATTGCCAATATTTACTAAATCAGATGATGTCCTACAACTTAAACCAGCACAAGAATGTACTGTATGTAACGAGGATTGGTTGAGTGATTTAGTTTCAACATCAACGCAAGCAGAGATTGACCCAATTTATTTCATCCATAAAAGAATTTCCAGAGACACAGCTGAAATATTTAAAGTCCCTGTCCTGACAGATCGTGTTCTATGTAACGCTGAACAATTTGACATGAATTATGGCCAAACCGAGCCTCTAACTACCCGACTACATAATCTCCTTAAAGACTACACTGACGGGTTCACAATACCGAAAGAGATTATTCAAAATGCGGATGATGCTGGAGCTACAACTGTTAAACTATTGTATGATGAAAGAATAGTAAAAGAAGCTCAAACGTGTCTCTTTAATGAAGGCATGATTCCATGTCAAGGCCCAGCCTTCTGGGCATATAATGATGCCATCTTTACTGAAGATGATTTTAGAAACATTACCAAACTAGCAGGAGCTACGAAGAAAGACGATAGTATGAAGATAGGAAGATTTGGTTTAGGGTTTAACTCCGTGTATAATTTGACAGATGTTCCAAGCTTTCTATCTGGTGAAACCTACGTTGTGTTCGACCCACACGAATCTCATCTTGGAAAAAGTGGATTAAAGATTAATCTGAATTTTCCTGGAAACCAATTAATGCGGAATAAAATGAAGGGTCAGTTTTATCCATTTGAAGGCGTTTTTGGATGTAGTATCGTGAACAAAGACCGAGTCCATTTTAAAGGCACGCTGTTTCGCTTACCACTCAGAAATTCGGACGAAGCTTCTAAAAGCGAAATAAAGGATATAAGCTACTCAAAATCTGAAATGAAAGAGTTTATTAAGAAGATAGAAGACGGAGCTGGTAACTTACTTCTTTTTACACAGCATGTGAGTAAGATTGAACTTTATCACCTAGAAAAGGATTCTTCATCTGGGAAACCTGAATTATTAATGGAAGTATCAAAATCGTCAAACCATTCGGGACAGTCTGTTCTTCAGACTTTAACTGAAGCAAGAAATCCTGATGCCTACTGTACCGAGGATATAAAGATCACCCTGTCAATAACACACTGCTCTAAGAGCGTTTGCGGTCTAGATAAATTAGACGTTACTGTTCCATGTATAATCAACTGGAGTTTTGGTCAGGGGTCTTCAATACACGAAGCTGAAAGAAATGAATTCAAGGGTCTTCTACCTGTAGCCGCCACTGCTCTTACTGAAGTACCGGTACAGAATATTCCAGGTTTCTACAAGGAGTCACATTTATTCTGTTTTCTTCCCCTTCCGATTAAGTCCAAGTTACCTGTCCATATTAATGCTTCGTTTGCTGTACAATCCAGTAGACGTAATTTGATGTGGAGGAATGAAGATGACAAGGAATCAGAATGTGTTGAAGATAGATGGAATACAGTTTTACTAGAAGATGCTGGAAGTCAAGCATATATACGGATGTTAACTACAATGGCTGCTCGTCTGTCACCAGAGGAATATTATAGGTTATGGCCTTTTATATTTTCACAACCCAAACATGATAAGATATTAACCAGGGAAGTTTATATTACTATTTGTAAAGGTGACTGTGCAGTTTTCCCCTCTAACAACGGGATTGTGTCCTTGAAGCAATCTGTTATCCTTTGTCCAGAATTAACAACAATTAAAGATGCTGGAAATATAGCCTTAAGAGCACTACGATATTTTGTTATTGAAGAAAAACAAAAGTTATCAAATTTTGATGCTGATGTTACAATAGTGGATTTGCCGACAGCCTTGTTGAACAACTTCAAACTTTCTGGGTGTGAAAATCAAATAAATGAACGAATAGTATCCGTAGATGATTTTTACAAGGAGATCGTCTTTCCTAATCTAAAGAATGCTTTTTGGCAAAAAGAAGAACTTGACGAGATAATTCTGAATGGAATTTTAAGCGGTAATAAAGTTATACTCCATGCTATTGCACTACACAAATGCATCCCAACAAAACCAAATGGGGAACGAAAGTTACCTGCTGAACTAATACATCCTAACAGAGAACTCGCTAACCTTTTTTCTGTGGAAGAAGAATGTTTTCCCGAAGAGAATAAATTTACAAAGTATAATACATTAAAAGTTTTACAGAACCTAGGAATGAAAACAGATGAACTGGAATGGGAGCATTTGCCAAAAAGGATACGATCTGTTTTGCACTCCGGGCGTTCGGAATTGCTGATCAATCGCACCGAAAAGTTCTTAAGATATATGACGTCTACGCGTGACGCAGAACAGAGATATCAAAAATGCCCAGATGAAATTCGCAAAGAACTTTCTAATTTAGAATTCCTGACATTACAAAGACCACCATATAATTGGACACTTCCGTGGTACGGTGGTGACAATAAAGAACGGCCATTCACATCCCCTATAAACGGATATTTTCCGGAATGTCGACATCTGGTAGGATGCATAAAACCAGTCGTTGATGTAAATAAATATACATATAACAGTAAATTTACCGATGTACTGAAATGGTTAGGAGTGCGACATTTAGGGTCTGAAATTGATCTAAAGCTAGTGATAGAAAACTTGTTAAAAATTTCAAACCATACCATGGAATCTGGGTTGAAGAATAATGGGTATATTATTCTAGATACTGTTTTCCGAGATATCTATGACTATTTGTGTAAAGTGGTTGAAGATAACAATGAAGAAGATATCCATTATATTAAACAGTCATTAGAATATAAGGCAGTTGTTTTGCATGAAAGGACATTAAAAACCGCAGATAAAATGGTGATGGAATTGAGGAATAATCTATCACCCTATTTGTTCGAGGTAGATCCAAGATACAAACGGTATAAAGATTTGTTTGTGATTTTTGGTGTTCGGATAGAATTAACTTTGTCTATGCTTACTGGGGCCTTGTTGCTTTTTTCCAAAGAAAAAGGAAGTGCTAAACTTTCATCAGATGAACTTGACTGTGTAAATAGACTGTGTAACGAATTTGAACGATTATGTGATCAACAAAATGTAGATACGCCTGAGTTTGGATCCATCAAACTGCCTGATGAAAACAGCGTGCTTACATTTACAAAAGACCTTTATTTTGATGACAGTCCGTGGTTACCAAATGACCTGACCCAAACGCATCTTCATAAAAAATTTTCTCGAAGTGTAGCAGAGCTCATGGGTGTCAAATCAAAACGATCACATGACATTGAAAGCTTATCATCCCCTTTATTTTCAGAATTTGGCCAACACGAAGATCTTACAAACCGCATCAAACGTATACTAGAAGGATATCCATGTGACGAATCTATACTTAAAGAGATGTTACAGAATGCTGATGATGCAGGGGCTACAGAAGTTATTTTCATAAAAGACTTTAGACAACTTAAAACAAATTCTCTACCCGATGATAGTCTAAGTCAGATACAAGGACCGGCACTGTGTATATACAATAACAGCTGCTTTTCTGAACTAGATTTGAAGGGTATACAAGCTCTGGGTTTAGGAAGTAAAAGTGACGAAGTGCTTAAAACTGGTCAGTATGGAGTGGGTTTCAATGCGGTTTACCATGTTACAGACGTCCCATCTTTCTGGTCAAAAGGTGGTGATATAGGAGAATTAGTTTGTATCTGCGACCCCCACCGTAAATATCTACAGAGTGCAACTGAACGGAGACCTGGAAGCAAACTTAAAGTTTCTGGGCTGAGAGGAAGATACACAGACTTTATGGAAGGTTATCTGCCACAATTTACAAATAAGTTGGATAAAGGAACATTATTTCGTCTACCACTACGAACGAAAGGCATGGCAGCAACTTCAGAGATAAGACGTGAACAAACTACAACACAGGACATAGAAGAAATTATCACAAAGCTTAAAGTGGAGATAATTCCTTGTATGCTATTTCTAGAAAACATCACAAAAATTAAGATAGCTTCAGTTGATCAAAACGGAGTTCTAAATATTGAACATGAATTATGTTCAAAGATGACTAGGAAAGATACAGAGAAACAGAAAGAATACAACAACTATCTGCGTGCTCTATCACATAAGATGGGTGATTTACAGCCGGACACATTCAATGCACCATTTGAAATACAAATAACCTTAAACTTGAAAGAAACTACATCTGATAAAACTGAACAGTTTGCTATTGTAAAAAGAGTAGGATTTTTACCCGAATATAAATTTCCAGAAAAACTGAGCAAGGCCTATGATAAAGGCATTGTTAAAAAATTGCCACGAGGTGGAGTGGCTGTCAGTCTCTCAAGTGAGGTAAATGGAAATGCATATTGTACTTTACCACTTCCGATTCAAACAGGTCTCCCAGTACATATAAACGGACAATTTGCTTTGGATCATGAATCAAGAAGGAATTTAAGGTGCGAGAAGGATTCAGTTGAAGGCCAGTGGAATGCACACCTGGCGAAATATGTAATTGTTCCAGCTTACATTTCCGCACTCAACTATTTTAAAGGGTATCCATTGAATTCACGACAAACTGTTTTAGACGTGGAGAAATTAAAGAAAACCGTTGATAAATTTGAAAAACTTTTCCCGATAGTTGAAAACGCCACAGACATATTTTGGAAAGATTTGAGCAAATATATATATAAATGGATTGCAAGAAACAAATGTCCAATGTTTCCTGTTTTTACTAACAACACAAATAACTGGTGGAATATAAAATGGGTTAATATACAGGTTGGAGATGATGGGGACTTTTCTGGGGTTTTTAACATTCTTCATACTTATTTTAAAGAACACGGGTCTACGCCTTGCTATAGGTCCAGTGGAATATCAATTATGCATAGTACTATGGATAAAAAGCCAAAAACAAAAGATAATCTAGCGAAGATTTTAGTAGAATTAGGCATGATGATATTGCAGTCGTCTGAATTGCTATTAGAACAATTCAAATATTATAAAATAGATGTTCAAACTGTGACACCGGAAAATGTGTTGCGGTTCCTAAAATCATATTCCAAAATTGGACTGAATAATCGATGTAAACTGGACAAATTACCATGCGACATATCTAATACTCTTTTTAGGAAACCCGAAACGTTAAAATTAGTACTAAAATTTGTGATAAAAAATGTAACAGAGAACAATGTTGATATATTGTATGGTGCACCACTCTTGTTGAGGCAGAATAACATTTTAGAAGATTTCAATGTTGAGAGTACAGTTATTGTTTCTAAATTCTGTGGACTGTTACCCGAACATTCAAGCGAATTTCTTGCCTGCAACATAATAAATTTGATGGAGACGTTCTTGCAGTCATTTGGGCCCTTGATTAAGTGGAACTTACACAGTTTTGCTAATTTGATGCAACATTCCGAAGAGAAAAAAAGAATTTGTCATGATGAAATTATACCATGGGATGGCAACAGGCCTGTCAGTAAGGAATGGCTTGTAGAGGCTTGGAAATTTATCTGTGGGCATTTACCGAGTGATTCTGCAAGAGCGAGGTTATCTGTATCTGCACTGAAGGATATAAACTCATTTTCTTTACTGCCGGTTAAAAAAGGTAAGACACAAGTTCTATATCCGTTGTCAATGGCTAGTCATATCATGGATATGACCAACGTACCAGACACTTCTACATATCAAAAAGTGGTTGAAGTACTGGGTGGATTGCAAATACCGGAATTGCTGATGATCTCACCATTCATACATGAACTTGTAGTAAACATCGGAAACCCCTCAGATGTTCTGCAATTATTGATAAAAACTATAGAACGTCTGCTTTCAATAGACATCAAGCAATCTGAAGCCTTGTGGAAATACTTTAATATGAAGTTGGATGACATAAACAACGTACAATTGGTAAAACGATTACCTATATTTCCAACACATGATGGTAAAATGGTTTCTCTTTGTGCGGGAAGTACAACGTACACCTGCCTTCGCGATTCAAAGGATCGTGTACCCAAAGACGGTCTCCAGCATTGGTCATTGGTATCAAATGTGGAAATATTAAGATACCACTACGATCTTGAAAACATCTTTTTGAAAATTGGTGTCCAAGTAAACAAACCAGTTGATCTGTACACTAACTATATTTTAGAACATTTTCATGGTTTTACCAGTGAGAATCAGGTCATCCATTTGCAATACATTCGTGATGTTCTCCTCGACAATCTTAATACCGCAGAAAAAGACCAATTGATTCGAAAGTTGAAGGATGTTAAATGTATACAGTATGATGGAACAACTAGGACCGTCTCTCAGTTTTATGATCGGGACAACAAAGTATTTAAGGTTATGTGTGACCATCTGATTTTTCCACCACCCCCGTTTGACCACCAGGATTGGAAGAGATTTTTAATCCTGATTGGATTGCAAGTTAAAGTATCGCCGAAAATGTTTGTCAAGTTTGCCGAAAACGTCGAAAGTTCTGGCGTCTCAAACCAGAGTCGAGAACAGTCTCATTTACTAGTAACATGTTTATTTGATGAAGATTACATCAAAGATAAACAGTTTTGTGAAAGAATAAAAAATATCAAATTTGTATCGCGTTTGACTTTATCTAATGAGGATTTCAGAAGTGGAATTCACCCACAGTATGGTTGTGGAGACAGATTCATATGTTTTAATGGCTCCTTCAAAAGTTCTTGTGTTGATTACGTTTGGACTGTTTCGAATATTTTACCATCAAGTGTATATGATTGTTCGAATAATTTTCTCGGTATTGAAACTGAAATCAACCCAAGGTCATTTATTGATCATCTTAAGAACATATGTACTAATTTAGCAGATGTGGATCGGTTACAGAAAATAAATACAACAAGTCTGGTCGAACTATTTACCAATTTATATGAATACATGAAACGTCACACAAATATAAAACTTTCTGATCTCAAAGACTACCATATCATATTTTTACCTGATCAAATGCTGATGACAAAAGCCTCAAAAGTAATCATCGAACCTAGCAATGGCCAGCTGATAAAAAATCGTATATTTCGAATTCCAGTTGATTTTGTCTGCTATCGTCAACTATTTGAAAAGCTCGGAGCTATAAATACCGGTGTGCCCGATATCTACCTCGGAGTCCTCAGAGAAATCTTTACGGAATGTAGTGGTAAAGCACTTGATCCCAATCTTTCGACCACTGTCGGGGAATGTATCCAGCAACTCAACAACTTGTGGAAAGAACCTCCACCAAATGGATATTTAATGAACGAACCACATTTGTATCTACCGGATACAGATACTCTAATGGCCAAGTCAACAGAACTGGTTCTTGTTGATAATAACAATATATATCGAAAGGTGTCAAAACTATCATTTCGTTATTTTGTGGGAGCAAAAGCCCTGCAAATCAAAAACTGGTCGATTACGGTGTGGCCAAAGAAATATCAAATGAAGAAGCTTACTAAACTATTTGACGTTACAATTGAACCATCTTGCATTGATAACGCTACCAAAGGTAGTGTGGCTCGGAAAATCAAGAATATGTTAATCGATGAAAGTTTTATAAATGGCGTTGTTCGTCTATTAAAACACAACCAAGAAGAAGAACAACAACCAATCTCTGATGCTAAATATGACGAAGCCTTGAATAAACGTATAGAGCTTTTCACTGATATCGAAGTATTTGAAGTGGGTGATCTTATGACGATACTAATGTACAGCGGCGAAGTTGTGCCCGAAAGTAACGAATCATGTTCAGCGCATTTTAAGAAAAATTACAATGACAACACTACGACCTATACCTTGTATGTAGATAAATCCCAGAAAGTAATTTCTAAATTAGACAAAAAATTATCCGATATAATTAGACATATCTTTAATGCTGATATTGGACACCATTTTCGTGATATATGGCAGTTGATGGTTGATGAACGTCCACGGGAAATTGAATCCTATCTGGATAAGGAAAATATTAAAACTGATGACTTTGTTTCAAGGTATATTTTATTTCCTCCACCCGGTACTTGTATCCCTGAACGATTACACTGGCTTTTAGATAACAGCTTCAATAAATTTGATAAAGGAGATTATGTTGGATATGAAATTTTTGATCCTGATATTGAGGATGTGGACGTGGAACGAAATACCACAGATTCGCCATATTTTATATACGCTAAAATTGTGGGGAAAATACAGGCAGAAACTGATACTGAGTTTGCAAGCTATAGTATTGATGTAGGAGAGGAGAGGCCCATTCAAGCTACAGTTACAAGAATATATAAATTCCACCGGAATAACACAAATACCTCACGGGAATTAGTCCTAAGTGAAGGGAGCCAAACAGAACAACAAAAATGTAATACTATTGAGGAACTAGACATTAACACGATCTTGAAAGACATTCGTCAGACGATGAGGCGAGCATGGCAGTGCTCAGATGAAAAGGAACGAAAACGAGTAACCAAAAGACTGTTGTTAAAATGGCATCCCGATAAGAACCCATATAATGCTTTGAAAGCTACAGAAATCACAAAAAAAATATTTATGTATGTGGAACGATTGAATAGAGGCCTTGGTTTAGATGGCGAATCCGTTCCTGACGAAACAGATGGTGCAACAGATGGTACAACAAGATCACAACGTAATCGTTCATATGAACGATTTTACAGCAACGTGCATTCGACAGGTAGAAATCACGCAAGGTATTCCCAAGAACAAAGATCCAATAGAAGATATTACACAGATACTAGTTTCCATAGATCAGCTCAATATCAACCAAACCCATCACCTGGACAAGCAGTAAGATGGCTGAAACAAGCAGATTGGGACTTGAAAGCAGCGGAGCAATCTCTATCTAGTCGCGCAAATACACATAACTGGATATGTTACAAATGTCAACAGGTATGTATATATGTCCATGTGTCTATATGTTGTTTTAAAAGGATGGGAACAGTTTGTACAAGTAACTTAAAACTCTTAAGAAACTTGTCTATTACTAAAACGCCGCGAGAATATTACTAACTTATAGAACATAACAAAACATTCAAAAACTTACACATACCAATGAATTGATGTATTTGAATAAGTTTGTAAAAATACATTATTTATTATAAAAATATATAACGTGTAAGCAATAACAAACTTTTTAATTTGTATTGATTCAGTCAGCTGAAAAGGCTTTGAAAGCTGTATGGTATACAATAGATGCAAATAAAGTGAGTCAGGACCATAATTTGAATAGTGTTGCCAGTGGGTTACCATATCCTAATGTTGTACAATTAGCTGCAGAACTACAGTCAACAATTGGAGAACATACCCGAATGAGATATCCCGACACACTCAGCTATCCCAATATTCCACATGATGCTTATAACGAAAGCCGTTCCACCCCAGCCTGTACATTAACACGAAAAATTATCAGCATATCAACAAAAATAATTCGTAAGAATAAGTTAATTTGTTAAGACTGTCATCAATGTACACACTTCTTTTTATACGCCCACGCGTAGTCTATTGGTTGGTTCGTCTGTCATCAGTTGGCTTCCGTACGCGATACCACGAATAGTAGTCTAGATTGGTTGTCAACATTGGCTAGATTATCCGGTCTTTTACATTATCGCGAACCAAGTCTAAGGAAGATAGCTATGTAGCCTAAAACAAAGATGTCCAAGCCCATGAAGAATTGCCATCCAATATCAAACATTTTTATTTTTTTGTGTCTCTTCATGGACCGTATCTATGTTTTTATACGCCCACAATTTCATGTGGACGTATATTGTTGTCGCCCATGTCCGTTCGTCCACAATTTGTTTATGGACACTCTACAGGTCACAATTTTTATCCGATTTTGACGAAACTTAAAATATAGATCACAAAGATCTCGGTTCCTTTCGATATTGGCATGTATCGGACCATAACTTCATGGATTATAGCCCCTGCATGTTTATAACCAAAAGATCTTGGTTCCTGTCGATATCGAATAGTAACTTCCAGACTTATGGCCCCTGATTGTACGAAAAATTGCGTTTCTATCTTGTGGTCCGCGGTCACAATTATTATCCGATTTAAAAAAACGTTTGAATATATCACTGTTACACCGTAATGTTGGTTCGTGAAAATCGGGCCAAAACTACTGGACAAAATGGTCGCCCCTCGTATACGCAAATAGTGTAAACATCTGGTATATCAAGATTGTGGATCTCTAGAGGTCACAATTTTGATCCGATTTTGATGAAACTTGAAATATATGTTTACAACCCAAAGATCTTGGTTCTTTTAGATATGCGCGCATATCGGATGGCAACTTCCTGAATTATGTCCCTTGATTGTACAAAAAAATCTCGTTTTTAGCTTGTGGTCCATTTAGAGGTCACAATTTTTATCCGATTTAAAAAAAAAGTGTGAATATATCATCGTTACACACTAAGATCTTGGTCCTTTTGATAATCGCGCATATCCGAACATTATTTCCTGGATTATGGCCCCTGATTGTTCGAAAAATCGCATTTTTAGCTTGTGGATTTTAAAAACCGTTTAAATATATCACCATTCCACCATAATGAAGGTTGAATTCGAATTTCGGGAAAATTGAGATGAAAATGGCCGCTCTTTGTACACAAATTGTGTAAAAGTATGTAATACGAAGGTTGTGGACCCTCTAGAGGTCACAATTTTTATCCTATTTTGATGAAACTTAAAACACATCTTTATATCCCAAAGATCTCAGTCCCTTTTGATATTTGCGCATTTCAGATCTTAACTTTCTTCATTATTGCTCCTGATTGTAAAAAAAATCGTGTTTGTTTTTAGCTTGTTCTCCATCCATTCTTTGCAAAATTTGGGCGTATCCTGCCTGGCAGCCGCTGGTTAAATTAAACCTAATTCATCTTCACGATTCATGTTTGTTTATGATAATGCATGAATTATGGGATTTATTTCGGGAAGGGGCGCGCCTCTTACATGATTTGGGGAAAATGTACTGGATAATCAACCAAATAATAAAATCAAACTCCCGTTTACGTATGGGCAATGGAACTTTTCGTCAAATGTTGTCAACAGAACCAGCCCCCCCCCCCATACGTTGATTTTGATGAAACTTGAAATGTATGTTTATTACCCAAAGATCTCGATTCGCGCATATCGGATCGAACTTCCTGGATTATGGCCTCTTATTTTAAGAAAAATCGCGTTGGTAGCTTGTGCCCCCCCTCCTTATACCATAATGACGATTGAGTTCGAATTTCGTGGAAAAAAAAACCGAAACTTCCCGACAAAATCATACTGCACCCAGCGACCCATCTACGTCATACTTCCCAGAATGTGACACTGCCCCGATTAGCCGCCATTTAAAACGCCCACGTGATCATTTTAGGGCGGGACTTATCGACTAAACACCGATTTGTTTAGACAACAGAGTAAAAATAACCCACGCACGTGTGTTTTATGTAAACACGCCATGTCGCTGACTCTCGCGTAAAAGCGATATATAATATGTGCTATGGGTAATATTGCAATAAATTCTTTACCATTGTAAACTGTATTTAGAGTTTCAATCTGTTTATCTTTCAAAACAAGGTTAGATACTCCTAAATTTGTTTTTGCAAACAAAACCGCCTCTGTGAAATTATGTTTCATGGGCGCCGCCATATTGAATAATTAGAGGACTATTTTGTGATTCGGCTTTGATTAGTTTGACATCTTTCATACACACAGCGGCTAAATAAACATGTTTAATTTCATTCAATATGACTTTAGAAGAGAAAAAAATACTTTTAGAAATTTCTAAAAGCATACTCAGTGTTTTCGACTAAAATCATCGATGTAGGAATTAAAATGTCGGTTAATTAGCTTAGGGCCTATTCTCAGCCGGAGCTAGCTGTAGATAGGCAGCCTAAGTTTGGGATGCGACAAAATGTCAAAATTGTGGACCCTCTAGAGGTCACAATTTTTACCTGATTTTATGTTTATATCACAAAAATCTCGGTTCCTTTCGATAACCGTGTATATCGGAACGTCCGATAAAATGTCCGCTCCTTGTCCGCAAATAGTGTAAAAAGTATGTAAT